TTTTTTTTTTTTTTTTTTTTTTTTTTTTTTCCCTGCAATGTGCTTTTAAAGCGTGGCTCGTCTGGGTGCTGGGGTCTGCTGTGGATGGTACTTTTCCTTTATGCTCTGTTTGTGGGAATGACCTTTCTCATTGGGAATCATGCTGCTCAGAAGCGAGGACCTCCGATGTACATTAAGAGCTAGCCCTGCGAGCCAGGGTTCCAGCTGAATCACTTGTTTTTTCATTCATATCCAAAACTTTAATATTTGCTTTTTTCAGATCGGCTAGCAGGGCACTGCTTCCATGTATTTCCTTTCTGATCGTATAGGGTGCTGTGTCCTAATTTTTAACTGTATAGTTGTGCAGGCAGGAGTTGGAACTCGTCCAACTGCTAAGTATTGTAGCTGATGAAAGATTTTGCTTTTAATATTATCAGATAATGATGGCAAAAAGTCTAGAATACATTCCAAATAGTGAAAGATGTGATTTATAAATCCAGAGGGAAAATAAGTGTGGCTATTTTTACTTAAGTTATAAGTAATACAATGTGGAAGTGGAGCTATAGGTCTTTTTCATTTCACACATTAGTAAAATTGTTTTTTAACCCCTCTTCCCCCTTCCCCCAAAACCATGGTAATAATTTCTGAAAGTGGATTTTTAGACAGCATAGAACCTGTGAGTGTACTCGAGATATTTACAGCTTTTTGGCTTAACATCAAAATGTTAAAGCTGGAAAATAAGCACCTCTTGCTGATAATGCAGAAATGACCCTTTTTTGATAATTTCGCTGAAGCTGGAGATCTGTGAGCTCCTCGCTGTCCTGTTAACACCTAAATAGGGCATCCCATGGCAGTGCAGGCACTTGCAGCAAGTTTTAAGAGTGTGAAAGGGTTTAAATTAAAAACTTAGACAAGCTAAATTCTTTAAGAAAGCAGGAAACATTTAGCTAGTTGATTTATCCTCGGGACAAGGGGGCTGAAAACCGATTTGTCCTACAGGAATGCTGGATATTTTTTCCTAAAAGCAGCTAACTGTCCTTATCCTGAATTAAGGTGTATTTTACACAATTACATAGCATCCAGCCGCATCTGTGCCCTAACAATACTTCTTAGGGATTATAGCAACCGAGCTAGTGAACCACCACAAAAACCAAAACAGGAGAATCTGCCGACTTATTTTCAATATGTATCATCCTAAAATGTGCTGTGGGTGCCTGGCCATGCTCGAAAGACTTCTCTCTCAGTGCACTCTGCAAGAGTGAGATAATCTCTCTGTAATCTCTCTCTCAATTACAACGGAGAGAATGCTCCTTTATTAATGTCAATGAATTTATATTTTTCCTCTGCATTTATGTTTAATTAAACAACTACTCGGCTTGTCTTGCTCTGTCCTTTTTATTTCTGGTGAAGTGTACCTATGCAGGCCTCAAATACATCTCCTGCCCTTATGCTCTTTGTCAGATTTATTAAATTAATGCTTTTTACTTCTTCTCCTCCCTCCCCCCTAACATTATTTTGCAAAACATAGGAGGCATTTGCTGTTCAGCTGTAGCCCACGGCCAAAAAGCACCACCTTTTTTTGGATTTTCTCCCCCTCGCATCTTTAAATGAAGCCTTCAGTTCCCTGGCCTGAACACTGAAAACTCCCACTTAACCCAAATATATGTTTTGAATTCACAAATAATACAGCCTGGGCTCTCAAAAAGAGATCAGAATGTCCGGTTTTTACTAAACAAAGAGAGATCACAATGATCTTGTTTTCTTTTGCATCGCTTCCATCTCTGTCAGAAGTGAAAGAACTGGCTGGAAGTCGGGAGCTGGAAGCCTTGGGGCACAGAGAGATCTCTTTCCCTGAATCCCAGCCTGTCTTATCTGCACTTCTGCTCCTGTCTGTGGTTATAATGTGCTGAGCTGCTTTACACTTCAAATGCTGTACATAAATGTATTTATTATATCTTGTTTTTCTTAAAAAACTTGATATGTATTTTTCGTCAGGAGAGATTTTCAGCAAACCTCTGTAGAAATTGTACCTTAAGCTAAATCTAATGCACTGTAATGCTTGTTTATGCTGTTTTTTTTTAATTAATCAAGATTTTCAAATCAATGTGTGAATCTCTCTCTGAGGAAATAGAAAAGAGTTGGGGTTTTTTCGTATTTTGTACTTACAATAAGATTAGTTACAAGGACAGGAAAATACTGCCTATAGGCTAGAGATTACACAATATACATTACAGTGTTCATTTTTGGAAAGTGTGCAAACAAAAAATCAGGAATTACAAGGAAATCGGTGCAAGCAGTTAAGTTACAAATAAGAGAGATTTGTGTTCTAATTATTATAGTTTTATGGTGCAATTGAGAAAATTTGAAAGAAGCCCTTTTTTTTTTTTTTTCCCTGAGAGAAACAGTCAGAAAATCCAATTATTGTTGTTGTTGTATATTTTTTTCAAGGGATGTTTTAACGACAGAACATAGCCACAGTTTACTTATAGAAAAGTTGTGAAAGTATAATATAATATGTTGATTTTAGAACACAATTTCTGTAACTTTGAAACATTCCTTTTGACTTTTCCTTTTTGGGTGACCTAATGAAAATACAAATACTGAGGAGAAGAATTTCTTTTAACATTTATGTTTCTCAACAGATAGAGCTATGGTATAGTCCAAATATTTGTTTTATGATAATGCACAGACAATGTAAACACCTGAAAGCTTGTAAAAACACATTCTACATTTGCTGTTGCTTAGGTAAAATATCTGTTCCTCAGAAACCCTATATTTTCTGTTTAACAAGATTAAACAGTAATGCAGAGGTGTCTCAATACTTAGGCAAATAAAATCGAACTATACTTAATTTTTATATGTTCAGAAACTGAGATGATCCTCGTTAGGGAAAAAAAAAAAAAAAGAAGCTGTTATATGCCATTCTGTGCTATTTCAGGCATTAACCTCTCCAAGGCAGAAAGCTATGACCACCGAAATGATAACATCTCTCACAATTTCACCGAGTTCACTAACAAATACATGAAAAACGAGACGTTCTGGTGTGTCATTAGCTCTGTAGCGAGCCTCCTCTGTCTGCTTTAAATGAGAGTTGGGCTCTGACAAAATCCAGGGCTGAGAAGGAGGACGGGAGGCAGTGCTGGAGCAAACCCCCACCCGCGGTATCCAATTCTCCTCTCTCTTTCCCAGGTGATGAAACTCGGCAACCCCGAAATCGCCCGGCGGCTGCTCAGCAACGGGGCGAACCCCAACCTGAGAGACAGTACCGGCTTCGCTGTCATCCACGACGTGGCCAGGGAGGGCTTTCTGGACACTTTGCAGACTCTGCTGGAGTTCGAAGCCGACGTTAACATCGAGGACAACGAGGGCAACCTGCCGCTGCACCTGGCGGCGCANCTTCCCTTCGCTGCTGGGCCCGGACTAAGCCGACCGAGAGGGATGAAGGGGGGGATCCCGAGCGGGAGTTGGATGCACACTGCTACAGGAGACCTTTCCTCCGAGCTGCTGCTGCTGCTGCTGCTGCTAAGTTTCAGAAACCGGCTGTGAACAGGGTGGGTTGTCTTCTTCTTCCAAGATCTCAGGTCTGAGTGAGTCTCCGGTGTACGTGTATATATGTTACCTATAACATATACAATATCTTGCCTAGCTGTTAATCTATTCCCCCCCTCCCCCCGCGAAAGTGGCCGAAGTCTTTAATAAGAGTTACTCTATATGTGGAAGCAAAGAAATCTTGCTTCAAGTGGAGCTGCAGTTTTGCTGAATAATCACGTGTGAGTTAGGGGCGGGCTCTTGGCAAGGAGGTTTTTTACGAGTATTTACTACAAGGTCTTACTCCAGAAGATTAACCATCCCAATCCTTCTGTCAGTCTCCGATGCCATGCCTGGTTAAAAAAAAAAAAAAAATCTCATCTTTTTTCCGATCGTCAGTCACCCTAAAGAATGGCCGAGCCTTCTGGGAACGAGCTGGCGTCCGCGGCTGCCAAGGGGGACCTAGTGCAACTTACTAATTTGTTGCAAAAGAATGTAAACGTCAATGCACAAAATGGATTTGGGAGGACAGCGCTGCAGGTTGGTATCCAGAGAGGGAGAAAATATTTCATCACTGGTACCTACGTGACCCGGGTTTCCAAAAAAGACAACGTTTTAAGCAGGCTGGTGGATGAAATTCGAGTGGTTTTTCAAACTCGTTGGATGCCATATTTTATAAGTTTAGTGGCTCCAACTCCCTAAAATGACGTACTTGAAATAAAACTGGTCAAAACCATTCTTTCAATCGGGGATCACCCTCAATGTCAAACGGGCTACGAGTTTGCTAATATTTGCTAACTTCGTGGGGAAGAGGCAAGGAGTGAGAGAGCTGAGATGGAAAGAAATCAGCTTAGGTGAGCAGGATTTCATAGCAGGTCTGTAAACACAAATGTTCTGTTCTCTGAAGCTTAGGATTTTTATCT